ACAGCAACCTCCAACTCCTGGGCTCAAGTGAGTCTCCTGCCTCAGCCTCCCAAGTAGCTGGGACCACAGGTCCCTACCACAGCGCCCAGCTAGTTTTTGGTTGCAGCCGTCCTTATTGTTTGATGGCCTGAGCTGGATTCGAACCTGCCACCTTAGGTATATGTGGCTGGCGCCTTAGCCACTTGAGCCACAGGCACCGAGCCTGGGCCATTTCTAAGAAAAGGTTGTAGGGGTGTACAAATAGCAAATATCTGGATTAGAATCACTGCTACAGAGCAGACGTGCATTATGACTTCAATGGACCCTGGTTACTTTTGCTTTGATGAGCCCTTTTCTCCATTAAAAATTAAAATCACAAACTTTACTTCGTGGTTGTGTTGGCATAAAGACTAACACAAGCATTACTATTATCTTCATTTTTTTTCTTCTGATTTTTAAAAGATGTAATAAAAACATTTAGAGTCCCTCCTGTGCCTAGTGTGTAAGTCAGCCCTGCTGCAGAGGAGACAGAATAATGAGAGCCTTGGACAAAAGAAGGGGAAGTAGTGGAGGACGTCCAGAGAAGGCTCTCTGAGCCTGAGAGAGCACCCAGGTGCACACCGGAGCTCAGCAGGCCAGGAGGAGCCAGCGTGGACTCGGTACTGGGTACTGTCATTGCTGGGTCACAGAGGACCTTCTCGAGGTTACTGATGAAGTGATACTAACCATCAGTGTTTGGGACCGAGGAAAAAAACTGTGGATTTAAGACTGAGCAAAATTAATTTATTTTAGATAAACTGTGGAAGGTGTGGTAGATTTTATATTCTAGAGGGGAGAAGAATTTGTCAATAAAATAAATGATGGAGACCTACGTAGAATTTGAAATTCCATTTCAGGAAATAGTTTAGATACGATCATAAGCCCTATGTTTACTGGATGCCAGGCACAGGACTGCAGGCATTTTGTTTTATCCCATGTCATACGCACACCAGTCCTCAGAGGCTCAGGCCACTATCAGACCCTGTGTGTGAGAGTGTCCAATCCGTGTCAGGGACTCAGTAAAAGTGCCGTGAGCCTTACACAGGCCAGAGAGGGGCTGAGGTGGAGCCGTCTGCTTACAGAATGCAGCCAGGCCTCAGGAGTGTGGCGTACCCTAACAGTGCGTGCCCCAGGCCATAGGCACCCTTTCACTGTCAGTGTCCTTTATGCAGAGGGAATAACAATGTTGATTTGGATACACCGGAGGTGACAGTGACTCTGGGTTCATTCCTCTGCCTGACCTCCACCACATAAACAAATGCTTTGTTGAAGAGGTGCAGAATGCTGTTTTTAAATCATTATTCCCTTTGCTAAGGACTACTGCCAGGCAAGCAGCTGCCGTGGGGCTAAAATGGGGCAAAGGCTTGGGGGCAACCAAGCAAGAGCACTGTAGAGATGTGGCCCTAGTAAAGGTAGCACAGGAAACCTTGCCAAGCCAGGTGACTTTAAATAGTAGGGAGGAAGAATCTGTGATGTTGGAAGTATTAGGACCAAGCCCTACAGACGGCCCCACCTCCCAAGGAGTTTTGAAGGAGATATAAAGACAAGTGTGTTTGTTAACAGAAAATTGCACAGTTCAGATATGAATGGGCTGGTACAGAAGGCTTTGGATGCATCGAACGTCTATGAAAATATTGTCAATTATGTTAGCGAAGCCAATGAAACAGCAGAATTCACTCTGAACATCACCGACCGAATCTATGATGTGAGTATCCCCCTCTTTGGAAGTTCATTGATATGTTGTCTTATCCCACTCTGTGCCTTTCCTGTTTTCTGATGTCAGCTTCCAACATAAAATACAAAAGGCACAAATTCCAGAAAGCCCAGGAAAACTAAGGAAAGACCGTTTTACATATGCCAGGAAGATTTCAATCTGTAAGTTCTTCCAGATGTGCCGCACCACAGTCAGCAAGGACCGGTTCCTTTCACAGCTTTTTTTAGCCAAAGTCCCTGAAGAAGCTAGTGAAGACTAGCTCCTGCTGGCAGAGAAGATGCTTTATGCACGCATGCAGATTGTTTTCAACTCAAAATTATTTACTGAGCAGCTTCTGTGGGATAGGCACTTTGGTGGGGCCTTGACCTTGGCCAAGGCGCACTGTTCTAGGTTCGCTAACCTTTCCTGAGAAAACATTTCTCTTGAAAATGCCAAAGATTTTATTTTCTCATGTTGACATCTGATCTTGACTTTGAGCTATGAAAATGAAACTATGAATTTTGCTCAGTGTCGAGCAGATAAACTGTGTCATTTAAATCCTAAAACCACGAAAAGTTGATTTCTTCTGCTATCGTTTTTATTCTCTCCACCCAATTCCCTTGTAGGCTGTGAGTGGGATTGATACTCAAATCATTTACCATAAAGATGAAAGCGAGAACCTCCTCAATCAAGCCAGAGAACTCCAAGCAAGGGCGGATTCTAGTAAATATCTTGGCTTTCCCGTCTTCCTTCTGGGTTATAGCTGCTTCCTTCCTTTCATGCATGCAGACAGAGACTTCCAAGATTAAAAAGTAAACAGCATTACAATGAATAATGCACCAATAGTCCTTGCTCAGAGTCCAGTTATGAAAAAGCTAAACTTTGAAAATAAACTGTGATTTTTAAAAAACCTTGCATGTAGTAAAACTACGTGGAAACATACATGTTTATAGTATATGGCAGATATGCTTGCTAATCAAATAGGCTGATTAATAGAAACTTACCATAAATACCAATTTTTAAGGGGGAAATGCCATAAAATACACTTAGCACCAAAACTATATTGCCCATACTTTCATTTTTCTTTCTTTTTGACACACAGTCTCAAGCTGTCCCCCTGGGTGGAGTGCCATGGTGTCGTCGTAGCTCACGGCAACCTCCAACTCTTGGGCTCAATTGATCCTGTTGCCTCAGTTTGTTTTTTTTTTTTCTTTTCTACTTTTAGTAGAGATGGAGGCTTGCTCTTGCTCAGGCTGGTCTCAGACTCGTGAGCTCAAGCAATCCATTCATCTTGGCCTCCCAGAGTGCTAGGATTACAGGCATGAGCCACCATGCTCTACCACTTTCATCTCTCTTGAACAATTCAGAAGAGCCTTTAACATTTTTGCCACAAAAGGATGGGCCATCACTGCGAGAATCAATTAGGATGGCAGGGTACCACAAAGCCATCTGGTTATTTGCACTTTTTTGTAGTTTGGTTCTGCACAGTTTACCGAATTTCAGACAAACCCAATAACCATATGGAAAGAAATACTTCCAGATAGGAGGGTTTGCATCTGCTAAAGCATGCACATCCAAGCATGGGAGAGAGATAGAAAAAAATGAAGTCATTTTAGTTAATTTTGAAGCTTTTGAGTTTACCCTTAAAAACAATGGGATGTACTAAGAATTTCACTAAACATTACTCATCTGAAGTAATGAACTAATTTCTAAGGATATTTGAGCATTGACTAATGAGGCTGGCAATTCATTATCTAGCTACCTTCAGCTACCAACTAAAAACAAAGGCCAAGTTTGAAACTGAGAACTCTTACACAGTTTTATCAAAGCAATTAATCTCAAATCTAATGGTGCATTTTCCCTTTTTTCTTTTACCAAGAGCCACTACAAGAGCACTTTGTTTTTCATATTCAGAATATTTAACTATTTAATTACTTTGCAACTGTTTTCTTTTTCTGGGTAAACAAAGACAAAAAAAGTGCTGAACTTTTTTTATTCTAATTAATCTATCATGTGAGTACAATTACTTTATTACATGAGTCTAGTCCTGATTATACTCTTTGGAAAATAATTAGAATATTAGTAGTAAAGAATTAAAATATTTACAATAAAGTATTTCTAAGTAAATATTGCTATATCTATTTATTGCTTTTGTTTCTTGTGTTGGGAAGACCACTAACATACTCTGGTCTAACATGTTCTGTTTAGATACCGTGACTTAAATATGTGTATTTAATTCTTCTGAATAATTTATAATATATATTTTTTAATCCTGTCATTATTGAGTTATTGAACCTCCAGAAAGCAACTTTTCTATTTTGGGAATGACATCCCTTCAGAGTTTCATTTTTATGTCTAATAAATCTCTGGGCCTCAGCATCTTTGAATATTTTGCAGATCTAGTTTCAGGTTTTCACATTAAACCATAGTCATCTACTAAATTACACTATCATTTTAGATTATTGCATCTTTATTTCCAAATGACTCTCAAAGATTAGTCATCTTTATTTCCCAACTTTCCTTTTCTTCATTATTTATGTGAAATAGTTAACAATCTATAATAATCTCAGGAGGCTGCTTTCTGGAGGAATCTTCTACTTCATTTGCAAAATGACAGATTTTTGTGTAAGACAGTAAGTTCTATATAGAACATACTTTTTTTTTTTTTTTTTTTTTTTGCAGTTTTGGCTGGGGCTGGGTTTGAACCTGCCACCTGTGGCATATGGGGCCAGTGCCCTACTCCTTTGAGCCACAGGCAGCACCCTAGAACACACTTTTTGTAAAACCTTTCTTCTTGTAAATATTGAACCCAATATACATTTTTTTCTCCTATTTTTAGCAAGAGCTCCAAATAGAGAGTTAAATATATTATTTCTCAATGGATTGGGTAGTGTTTTTTGCAATTACAAAACCCTAAAACATTGAGCAAAAACATTGTTTATAACAGAGTATTTAAAAATGGAAACTAGAAAGAGAGAATTAGGGTGCAATAAAGCTGCAAGGCATGTTTGAGGGCTCTCTTTAAATTCTCGGAAAGGCTCCACATTACCTAGAGAGAATAAGAAAGAAGTGCTCGTATTTGGTTACGCTGTACTTAGGGACAGTATCAACTAAGCCTTTCCCCATTAAATACCCATTATATACGCACCTATGGGGAAAAAGGGTAGCAATAAACCAACCACACCAAGACAAAACAATAGAAAAGAGAAAGTGTGCCGTGGGAGGAGGTATATTTACCAAGCTCTTATTGCCAATAAAGAGAAGAGTATAATGAGAAATGACAGAACTATTTTGCTGTTGGTCAAAAAACATAAAATTCTCAATGCTTTGGATTTAAACAAAGCACAAACAGAAACAAAAACTTACTGGCAGATATGTCCTTTTGGGATTTGGTCAGAGATAACCCAGGGTTGGGAACTGTTTCACAAACACAATTTCAAGAATAAGTTTGTAAGAAAAAGGCTATTTATCGAAACTGATACAAAAAGAATAGAAAATCTGATAGAATCGCAATCACAGACATATATATAATAAATCTAACCATTAAATCCCAAAGCTCAAATGGCTTCCTCAGTGAATTCTTCCAAACATTTAAAGAAGAAATAACACCACTCTTACACAAACGTTAAGAAAGCATTCTCCAACTTGTATTATGAAGCAAATAAAACTTAGACACCAAAACCAGATAAGGACATTATAAAAAAGAAAAATTACAAGCTAAATTCTCTTCTAAACAGAGATGTAAAAATCCTAATGAAGGGCGGCGCTTGTGGCTCAAAGAAGTGGCACGCCAGCCCCGTATACTGGAGGTGGTGGGTTCAAACCCAGCTCCAGCCCCCCCCAAAAAAAATCCTAATGAAGATATTAGCAAATCAGATCTAGCACATACAGAAATGGCAATATATGAGAGCCATCCTGAGCTTATTCCAGGATTTCAAAGATAGGTTAACATTTAAAATATCAATTATAATTCACCACAAAGAATATAAGAGAAACTCATATGATCATCTCACTATATGCAGGAAAATTATTTAACAAAACTCAATACCTATGCATGACTTAAAAAAACTCTTAGCAAACTAAGAATAGATGGAAACTTTCATAATCTAATAAAGAATGCCAAAATAATACTCAGCAAACATTATAATAATATTGAAATGAGCTTCCTCACTAAGATTGAAATCAAGACAAGGATACTCCACATTACCAATTCAATGTGTAAAAATTCCGTTTAATTCTACATACAACAATGGTGTATGTAGATATATACATTAAGTTTTGAACATAACAGCATTGGTAATAACAAGAAAAATGTGGAATAAATCTGATGAAAGATGCTAAGTTGCTACACATAAAACTATAGTACTCTAATAAAGGAAATTAAGGATCTAAATAAATAGGGATCAAAATAGAATTGAGACCTAAAAAAGATAAATAAATGCCATATTCATTGAGTGGAAGATTCAAATTTATAAAACTGATAATTCTCCCGATTTTATCCATAGGTTCAATATTAATATTAATTAAAGTACCAGAACTGTAGGTAGATACAGGATGATTCTAGAATTTCTGTGGTCGTGAAAGGAAAAAACCAAGAATCTCTAAGACAATCTTGAAGAATAAAAACAAAACTGGAAGACCTAAAACCGTAATATCAAGATTCATTGAGTGGAAGATTCAATGAAGTATAGATGAAGACAAAGATATATAAGATTATGATACTGTATCATCTTTTTCATAGAAAGTTTCAAAACAGACACAACTAACAGATGGAGATAGAATTTAAAATTCAGAAGTGGTCGTCTTTGGGTAATCATAGGGCCCTCCCTAGGGAGCTGCAAGGGGACTGATAAAGTTTCTATTGTCTTGTTTTGGGTGCTGGTTATATTTTGTGCTCATTTTGTGAAAAATTGTCGAGCTGTGCACATGTAATGGGTGCCTTTTTATTGACATTTGCTATACACCAATTAAAAACTTTATCAGAACAATTAAGAATAAATTATTTTTATATAACCAGTCATCATCCTATAAAAAGACTTTTCTTTTTGGCACTTTACCAATTGTATCTACTAGATCTTGTTAGTTACAGCAGTGCCATATTTTTCAAAGAAATTAACCCTTATGGCATCCCAAGTTACTCCCAAGCAGTGTTACAAGTTTCCTGCAATCCTGTACCTCTCATTTTAAAAGCTGCTTTCTAGAACTGATAGCCTGTGGTTCAGAGTAGTCAGAATATTGCGAATGACTCCTTGGTACAGCTCAGGACTTTCCTTGTTGAAATGGAAACATTTTTGAGGCATGTTAGCCCAGCTGGTACTTCTTTTTGCTTCTTCTCCACAGGCAATGAAGAGGCAGTGGCTGACACCAGCAGGCGTGTGGGGGGAGCCCTGGCAAGGAAGAGCGCCCTAAAAAACAGACTAAATGATGCTGTGAAACAGCTGCAAGCAGCGGAGCGAGGTAAGGTGCACAGGGAGAGCTTTGGCCTTATCTGGTGGTTTGCTGGTGGGTAAGATAAACCTTTGAAGAAGGACTAAGTGGTTCCTTACTTGTCTCTTTTTACAATTTTTTTTCTGATGACAAAAGAACCTGTGTTCATCACCCCCCAGAAGATTTACAAATTAAAAGAAGAAAATAAATGTAAAAGTTGTAATCACACCACCGACGGTGACCATTAAATTTGAGAGCATTCTCTTCTCATCTTTTATGCATGTGTATATAAGTGTCTGTGTGTGTGTGTGTGTGTGTGTGTGTGTGTGTTAGTGGGATCATGTTCTTTATACCGTTCTGTAACAGCTTTCTTAGGAACATCCTTCCTCATTCACAGCATGCCCTAATTTGGTTATTGGATGTCTTTGGCCCCAGTTATCAACAGCTTCTCTCTATTACACGCCAAGTCATTCTTACCGTATAAAGCAGGGAGACCAAAGAGCCCAAATAGAGAAACAAGAACCTAGTCTGTGCCTGCAGTGGTATCGTAGAAGATACTATTGGAAGAAGATGTACCTTCCTTGGCACAGTGAAAATTAAAACCCTGCTGCTGAATCTGGGTGTTTTACTAAAAGGAGCACATCCCCGCTGCAGTTCTGAGGTCCACTGAAGCTCTGGCCAGGAGAGGCGTCATCATCAGAGCTTCTGTTTATTGATGCTTAACTATGTGCAGGACACTGGGATAAGTGGTCCAGGTGACTTAATTTTATGGGGGATAAGTATCACTTGCCTTTAGACCAATTAGAACCCTGAGGCTTGTGAGCACTACGGAACGCACTCCGACGGCCACAACTGGTACCAGAGTTCAAACCAGCATTTATCAGAATCCAGAGCGAGTGAGGCTTATCGAAATGTTTCCTCACTTTAGAAATAGAAATTATAACACCAAAGTAATACATGAGCCTTATAGAAAAGTTAGGAAATACAGAGAAGAAAAATCAACCATGATCCCATCACCTTGCAAAAATCTTTGTTATAAACTCACATTATTTTTATTTTAAATGAGTAATTTTTAAACAAAAATAGGAATTCACTAATGGCCATCTTTTGACACTTGCTTTTCTCATTAAAAAATATCCTTCCTTAGTAAATTCTGTACTATAGCATCATTTTTATGGCAAAAGTGTTTCACAGGAATACTTTTTCAAAAAGAAGGTGTTATTTACACTGAATTTCAGACATAATCTTTTTATGAGTTCCAATCTCACATGCATTTTTTATGGCTATCTCACAAGGTCACTAACCTGAGGAAATACTATCACTTTTTTTTTAATTGATCTTTTAATTTTAAAACATTGTAAATGAGCCACATGGTTTTAAAAAGACTTTAGAATCTCTCAGACTCACTTATTAATATGGTTTACGCTATTCTTGTGCACCTAACTTTTGCCATAATTAATATATATTTAAAGATCTTAGTTTTGCTTAAGAGCCCAAAATTTGAGGTCTGTTTCATCTCAGCAATTAAACAGATGTCAATGTTCCCCGACAAATGTGCCATTTGTCCCCAAAGTGAATGACCTTCTGCTCTTTGAAGGTGACGCTCAGCAGCGCCTGGGTCAGTCCCAGCTGATCACCGCAGAAGTGAACAAGACGACAATGGAGGTGCAACGGGCCACCGCCCCGATGGCCAACAATCTAACCACCTGGTCACAGAACCTCCAGCGTTTTGACTCGTCTGCTTACAACACTGCTGTGGATTCTGCCAGAGACGCAGGTATCACTTGGACACTTTGCAGTTTGAATCCAATTGAGGACTGGGCCATCAAACTCTACACAGTTTGTGTTAAGAAATAATTTTCTTCATTTCGGTTTTGGATTGGAATATATAAAAATTAGCTTAGAAAAAGACAATTTGTTCAGTTCATCTATCTGTCAACACATGCCTATGTGTATACATATGAAATCTATACATATTTCACATAAATAAACACTGGATAGATGGGGAAAGAGTCAGAATTTCTTCTGTGTGAAATAATGGTAGCAGTTGTTTGCATCAGTGTAAGACTGGTTCATTAGGGAAGAAGGTAAACAAATGTTAACCTTAATAGAATACTATTTCCTTTTAGGAAAAAACATTACTAAATTTAATGTAACACTTTAACTAAACAGTATTGCTTTTTCTTTACCAATACAAATAAGAACTAAAACTAGCCGAACATAAGTCCAGCTCTATCTTAAGAACAGTGGGTTGGCCTACTTGAATATATCATTTGGCAGCAGTGAAAATGAAATTTCTTAATTAGCTACTTCATGTAGTTGCACATAGGAATTAAAATCGTGTAATATTTGAGAAATTTTCTTTTTTACATTCTGATATTTTTATTCAGTCTCTTCATAACCTCTTAAATAGCAATGTCTATCAATATCATGATGAATCCTGACCAGAACTTTTAGTTCTGCAATATGGTTTTGCATAA